AGCAGTACACTTACTTCATGGCATACCAGCCCAAGAGATGCTACTACTAAACGACACAGCTTCTCATAAAGGAGAAATTCCTTCAATCGAGTTGTAATCTTAAAAAGGTACAACTAACACTTCAGATAACAGTGGCCAAAGAACCTGCAACCGAACCAGATGGGTTTTAGGGTTCAGATTTTGGAATATTTGCATATGCGTGGTATCCTGGAGTTGGGATACAAATCTAATTACAGATTTTGTTTAACATACAAACAATGTAAAAGCAATTTTAAACTGTTTTCAATGTACATACACGTTCACTAATTCTTGGAACATGAGATGTTGAACTGTCTACTTGTGGTATTACACAGATGCTTTAAAAAGTTTCAGACTTTAAATAATTTTAGATTCTAAATGGTCACTATGTATTCTCCTATTAAAAATAGGAAGGATGGAACATAAAAGATATGAAATAAATTTAATTTCAAACGACAAAGTAAGAGGTATAGAATGAGGAGTAAGATAGTAATTAAACTTTACTTCATAGTTAGTATGCTTCTGTAATCAAAATCAGTGTTGATGTGCCTTCTGATTTAGAATATAACATGGCTAGGTGCCAAAGAATAACAACACTAGGAGCACAGTAAGTGAAGAGAAATCACATACTAGCAGTAACTACCGGTGAGTATATACTACATATATAGAACATTCTAAAAGAAAAAGCACTGCATGGAAAGAAGGCAACAAAGAAAATCCTAAATTATTCAACTGCCAACAGAAATCACAGTTCCACTTGTGGTTTGAGAAACATATCACATTTAAAACTCTGTTTACATATGACAGCTCCAAGACAAGAGATGGAGAAAGAGAGAAGCTATCATTCAATCAAACACAGGAGTTCACCCCTTATACTTGATGTATGTACCAGAAGCCCTTAGTGGGTACCTTGAAACTACAGACATTACCAAACCCTTCATATTCTACGTTTTTTCTTATATATACTTATTGGTAAAGTTTAATTTATATATTAGAGTAACAATGAATAATAAGCAGCAAAATTATAGCAAGATACTATAATAAGACTTGTTAATACTGTCTCTCATAATGTCACTGTACTCTCCTGACCCTTATGTAATGGAGCGAGGTAATACAACACCTGGGTGATCAGATGAAGTGAGGGGTAAGTGATGTAGGCAACCTGATCTACGATGTAAAGATACGCAGGACTCTGATAGCACAAAGTAAGCCTCTTCCCTTGACATGGGTCTTAAGTGACTATCAGGCAGGTAGCTGTAGTGTGGTCAGTTAGGAACAGCGTGCAGTTTCATTATGCTACTCAGAATGGTGGATGTGCCAGTTAAGAGATAAGCTCTTTCTTTATTCTGAAGCCTTTTCCAGTCAGTGTTTTCAAAATGAGATGAATCACAGGTTTGGGGGAAACCACTGCCTAGACTATGACCTGGGCTTCTAAGGAAGGTCTGGAGCTGTTTGTTTCTCGGTATATGGACCGGAGAAAATGACTTACTTGTTGGCCCACATGTAACTAATACCATCTATTCCAAAAAAGAAATAGGTGCTCAATAATCTTGTTTTTATTACTGAGGTACAATGAAAACAGCACTGCCTCTTCCCTCTGTCCTTTGGCTAGCTGTAGTCTAAAGGCCGGAGCCTATAAAATGAATGAGTCTAGTAAGCTTGATACCTCAGAATCTCTTGATCCACAATCCACTCTCTTTGCATTTGCCAGCCAGCACAGTATTTTACGGTAGACTCTAAGGTCGTTGAAGAACACGAAAAGCACCACAAGCAAGACAACTAGAATCCCCATCTTTTATCACTTAAAAGATAACTGAATTCTTTAATCACCATTTTGTGAAGAGCTCATCTGAAGAGCTGCCCTACCACAATGCTTCCCCATCTGATCCCATTCCTGTTTAGCAGTAATTCACATGCACTGGGATTTTGCAGTTTATAACATGCCCCAATTTTATGAGGCACTAGATTTTTAAAAAAATTTGTCAGTATGCCTTCCATAAATACAAAGGTAATATCAATGGAATTAAACCACATTAAAGGCTTTACAGTTTTTTTAACAGACAAAAACTATTGTTAAAAAATGGCAGTAATGTTATTTAGTGAGAACTAAAAAATAGTGAACTTTTAATATGAAAGGTCTTGTTAATTTTAAAAACGGCTTGTTCAGTTGCTTATTCCTTGAAAGTATTGACTCCTTTGGAAATGGGCTGAACTGTTAACCTCTGTACTGCAAAGACACAGTCAAAGAGATACAGGACATAAGTTGGACCGAAGTCCTAAGTTTCAAGAAAGTCGTGATTTATTTCTATTATCAAGGAATAAATGAATAGTAAGATGATATACACAAAAACTAAGAAAAAATAGATCCAAATTATTATTATTGTTATTTTGGTTTTTCGAGAAGGGTTTCTCTGTATTGTTTTGGAGGCTGTCCTGGAACTTGGTCTGTAGAGGAGGCTGGCCTCGAACTTACAGAGATCCACCTGTTTCTGTCTCCCGATACTGTTGATTAATGATATCTATACATGTTTTCATCCACATAAATCATCTCTCTAAACAGTTCTATTAAACATAGTAATTCCCAAGTCATCCAATAATAGCTTTCAATTGCTCAAATAGCTTCCAATGAAAACTATCATTTATAATTAACAGTACATAAGGCACCAAGAAGCTATCTACGTATTTTTCAATTTTAACACGGTATGGTTTCATATCCCCAAAGGTTGACAAAACAGTAATCATTCTAAATGTCATAAAATCAATGATATTATTCTACTGAATTAGTTGACAGAGCTGATGTGAGTCCAAAATGTCAGGATCGAACTTTACAAATATAGTTAACATTAAAACACAAAACAAAACAGAAAAGATATGAAGTAACAGAAAAGTAACCTTACTAGAATATACGTCTATTAATAGAACTTTCCTTAGCATTAAAGGCAGTCTTTAACAATACAAGATACAATCTGTTTACATAACAAGTTAATAGGAAATATGACACATTCTTGTAAAGGACCAAACTTTGAGTAATGGGATATAGCTCCGTGAGAGCCCTTAGCATAAATAATACCCTGGGTTCAATTCCCAGCACCACAAAAAAGGAAACTTTAGAATGCATTATTCTGATATAACAACTTTATTTTATATATTTTAAGGTTTTATATGTTTAGTTTTAAGTCATTTACTTAGAACTAATGATACTTTGCACAGATGTTATTTATTTTGTATCTATGGAATACAAAATAAGTATACAAGATTAAACCTACATAACAAAATTTCAGTCACAGATGACATATCTGTACATGGGCTTCTCAATTTTATCAAAAAATTCATCATTATTTATTTAAGATACATTTAAACAGTTTATTTCAAATCATCATTATATATATAAATATACAGTATTTAAAACTTTTAAGTCTGAATATTTTTCTATATTTGACAATCACACAAGTATGAAACATAGCAAAAACAAATAAAACAAAGTAAATTAGATGAAGGAAACTAAATTAAAGGCTCATTTGCCTTGCTGCATAAGAAATTATTAGAAATTATTAGTAAGAAATCCATCCATTGTGCTCAAGTTTCATATGATCTAAGAACATGATCAACATTCGGTCATCTATTGAAATAATTGTGGTACCAAATTTATCACTGACCTTTCATTAACCACACAGGAAATACATATGACTTATAGTTCTGTTTTTAAATTTTTCTGTAAGTCTATCATCTAATTTCTTCTGATTTTACTATATTATACAAATTCTAGCATGCCAACCTAGGTCTTTTTTGGAAGCAGTGAAAATAAATAGTATCAAGGTTACAGCACAATAGATAAATTTAAATAATAAAGCATAATTCCACTCCATCCTTACTGAATTAAGGAGATTAAAATTATTTGCAAACAAGGGGTTAAGACTGGGCTGGATTAACCCCCAGAAACAGCTGACCTGACAAGGGTTAGCTCTTGAATCCTAGACTGATGCCTGGGAATCCAGCATGGGACTGATCACCACCCCCTGAATGTGGGTGTCAGTGAGGAGGCCTAGGCAATCTATGGGGCCTTGAGTAGTAGATCAGTATTTATCCCTGGCATACAAATGGACTTTGGGTGCCCATCCAACAATGAGAGATGCACTCTCAGCCTGGACTTTTGGGGGAGGGTCTAGGCCCTGCCCTGGATGAAATGACAGGCTATGGACACCCCCATGGAGGGCCTCACCCTCCCTGGGGAAATGAGAGGGTATTGGGGGGGCTGGTGGGAGGGTGTGGGAGGAGGGGAGGGAAAGGAAGAGGGACCAGGAATTGACATGTGAAGCAACCTTGTTTCTAATTTAAATTTAAAAATAATTAAAATATTTAAAAAAATCCATCAATGGCAAAAAAAATTATTTGCAAACAAAGAACATCTAGTTCTTATACTAATTTTTTAAAGTAAACCACCAAAAGCAGGACATTTCTCTAATTTCTAATATTTAATTAAGCACTTGGATTTCTAAGTTTTCACTCTCTTGCTGATCAGCTTTTAAACATAACTAGAAAAAGAAAGTTCCTATTCTCATTGGCCAGAGAAGAGATGGAAAAAAGAAAAGGGAGAATGGGAGAGGAACTGAATTCTTTTCCCTTGCCCTGTTGCCTTTGCGCGATACAAATAAAACTACCATGGCCAGAGAAAGCAAGATTTTCTCACATTAGACCATAAACAAAATATCACAATTCTCAGCTGTTATTTTAGAAACAAATTTGTATTAGTACTTCGGGTGTATAAGCTGAATGGAGATTGCAGGTGCCAGGCATTGTCCAGGTGAGGTGGTATATGCTTACAATTCTAGTATTTTGGAGGCAGATGGAGGCAGAAAGAGAAAGATGGTGAACTGAAGGTACCTTAATTACACAGCAAATTCTAGGCCAACCTGGGTTACAAGAAGCCTCGTCTCAAAACAACCAAAGGAGTGCCCATTACAATCAGCCTATCCCTTACTTACCTGCCATTACAGAGTAGCCAACGAGCAAGAGAATAGTGAGGTATAATCTTCTGCATGACACTGGCCATCACCATGGTAACAACCAGCTGTATACCTATCACACCCTGTGTGAAAAAGGAAACAAATAAATTTAACAATAAAATAATTAATGTGTAGGGAGCTGGAAAACTATACATTTTGAAAATTATATTTTAAGGAAACTGACTTTAACAATAAAATATCTCATTCTTGTGGCATTTAGGTATTCAAGTCCACATACTTAGTTTAAACCTAAAGCACAGAATGAGATGTCTCTCATATAGTCCTCTCTTCAAATTACCAAAGTATCACAAGCATGTGAAGACAAGTAAAATAAACTAAACATCAAAAATGTATTCCGAATAAATACTCTATATAAATTGAGGGTATCTGGTCAATTTTGGTGAAAATTCTCTGAGGTGCTGAGAAGGGATACGCTCTTGTGTTTGCAAAAAATGTTCTGTAAATATGTCAGGTTCATTTGTTTTTTAATGTCTGTTAACTCCAGCATGTTAGTTTGGATGATCTAACTGTTGAGAATGAGGTAGTGAAATCTCCCACCTCAGTGGGAATCAATCAGTGTGTGAGGGTTAATATGTGATTTAAGCTGCAGTAGGGTTTCTTTTACTAACTTGGGTACCCTTGTGTTTGGTGCATACATGTTACAATTTTAAATGTCATCTTGGTGGATTTTTCCTTGATGAATATGTACTGTCTGTCCTGCCCTGTATCTGCTGATTGGTTTTGTTTGAAGTCTATTTTGTCAAATATTAAAATGGCTATACCAGCTTGCTTCTTATATGCATATGCTTATAATATTTTTTTCCTATCCTTTTAACCTGAGGTGATATCTATCCTTGATGTTAAGGTGTGTTTCTTGGATGAAGTAGAAGGGTGAATTCTGTTTTTGCTTTCATTTTGTTCGTCTGTCTCTTTTTACTCAGAAATCAAGACAACTGGTGTTGAAAGATATCAATGAGCAGTGTCTGTTGATTCCTGTTCATTTGTGTGTGTGTGTGAGAGAGAGTGTAAGCTTGTATGTGAGTGTGTAAGCTTATGTGTGTGAGAATGTGTAAGCTTGTATGTGTGAGAGTGTGTAGGCTTGTGTGTGTGAGAATGTGTAAGGTTGTGTGTGAGAGTGTGTAAGGTTGTGTGTGAGAGTGCATAAGCTTGTGTGTATGTAAGCGTGTGTGTGAGTGTAAGCTTGTACGTGTGTAAGCATGTGTATGTGTGCACATGCATGTACTCGTGCACACATGCTTCCCCTCTCTTGATTTGTTGGTCTAGGATTATTATTTCTTGTGTTTTGTTGGGTGTGTTTAACCTTTTCAGGTTGGAATTTTCCTTCTAGTACTTTCTGTTGAGCTTGATGCATAGATAGACAGTGCTTAAATTTGGTTTTATTGTGTAATGTCTTATTTTCTCCATCCATTGTGATTGAAAACAACCGAGGCTATTGCCAAGACTATAGGTTGACCTCTGCAAGCTGATGGCAAAGCCCTATTACTGAAGATAACACATACAAAACTCACTGAACACAGAGAATCAAGCTGCTGCCTACGTAATGGTTTCTACATGCTAGCTAGTATCTTTGGTGAAAGAAGATACTATTCATGCTACTAAAGGGGAAATGAAAACACCAACCCAACTACAAACCTTTTGATCTACAAAGGTGTCCTGACTACATGATATGTTAGTGCAGTGGGGGCAGCCAACCAATAGACTTGACATAAGCAAACGGAAACAAATACAGAGACCACAGCCAGATATTACGCTTGGAACACTCAGTCCTAAACAGTGTATCTCCATGAAGTCGCTCCTCTCAGGGCTCAGGAAACCTTGCAGAAGAGGTAGGCATAAAGAGTGCAAGAGCCAGGGGAATGGAGGACACCACAGAAACAAGTCCCTGTACATCAACAGGATGAAGCACATAGGAACTCACAAAGAATGAGGCAGCATGCAGTGAGCCTGCACAGGTCTGCCCCAGACAGGGTCCTAGAGATGAAAGGCGAGTGGACACAGGTCCTATCCTTTACCCAGAAGCAATGTCTAAATGATAACCACTTGCAAAGAAAATTTAGTTTTCTCTAAGGGATTCTCAGGGGGACACAAACTACTCTTAAGGGTAGGCAGTAGATAGCCAGCACAAAATGAACTCAAGAGTATCTTTGGAGGTTCCCTGTCTCATAATGTTATGTCAGGGCTTTATATAATTGGTAATAACAAAGTAAAAATAAAATAAGATAAAACAAAAACTAACACACTAGAATAGGAAAGTGAGTTTCTGTATCTGTTTCTTGTGACTTTTCCTGGGCTCTTTTCCTTCAATTTGTTTTTTTTTTTCTATTCCAATAGTTTTTTGTTTTATTTTATTTCATTTTACTTTTAATTATCCCTTAGAAGCCTGTTTATTTTACAATTTGAGATAGAAAGAAGTGGTGGGGAGGAACTGGGAGGAGTAGAGGGAGGAGAAACTGTAATCAGGATATATCATGTAAGAAAAAAACCCTCCACTTTCAAGAAAAACAACAAATTAAGGACATCAAAACGGTGAAATTGATTTTTTTATCTTTCTCTAATTCACTTACCAATGAAAACACCAAACTTTAAAACCAGCAGGCTGGGAAAGGTGGCACATACCTTTAATCTCATTACTCAGGAGGCAGAGGCAAAAGGCTACACACATAGTGAGACCCTGTCTCAAAAGACAGAAGAATAGTAACCACAGTAGTGAATGCTTAAGGAAACTGAGGTAGGAACAATGAATCAGAAGCCAAGCTTGACTATCCTATCTCTAAAAAGAGAGAAACAAACAAAAACCAAAAAACAAACAAACAAAAAAACAGCTTTTACTTCAAGACTGATCAAAGAGAATGGTTAAAGAACACCTTGCTGTAGGCAGAACTTTGATTTTCTCTCTTCAAGTCCTCGATCTAACAACTGTGTACCTGGGTCTCCTTGTCCATAAACACAGTAATTCAATTTACTTCACTGACATGTTCATGCTCATTTGTTATAGTGATTAGACCATTAGAAGACAACTTTTCAAGTAAGGAGTTGAGAGGTGGTTCTTGAACAGGACTATTTTTAAATGTGTACCAAATCTATTTCAACTCTACTTTATTTCTAGATATTTAATGTCTTAAATTCTGACAACTGGATTACAGATAGAGCATCTTTTATTTCAGTTCACATCCAAGGTTACATTATTTAACTTCACATTCTCCACTCTTTTTCCTATAGGTTGTAACAGTTCTACAATTTCTATACCCTGAATACCATCACAAAAAACTCCTTAACAGTCTGCCAGAAGGTTGCTTTATTTGAAATTATAGATTTAAAAGGCAAAGCACTTTTAGTTAAGAAAGTGTTGGAGACAAAGTGAGCCTCACTGGACCTGGCCTTGAAATAGTGACAGTAGTCCAGCATCACCAAGATTAGCGGTACAGCCTCTCACAGACACAAAGACAATTTAACAGTTCAGCATTCCTGCCCTCAATTGTAAAATCATATTTTAGTCGCATTTAATAAAGTCACCACCATAAAACGCTATTCCAGCAAGATATATCTAGAAGATGTATATGATAGAATGTGACAAACTGGGGAAGGATATTGCTCCTCTTGCTTCAAACCACAAACTATAGTGAGATACTGCTAAAAGCTTTACTGTTAAAGATGTAGACCATGCAAGTAAGGCACAAACAATCCAACAAGATTCAGAGAAACATATGCAATGATCACAATTTGGAGATAATGATGTTGTATCTTTGGTATCCAGAGAAGAAAAGCATCCTAGAGATAATGTTGAAAAATTCAGAACCTGATCAAATATGGAGTCAAGAGAGAATCAAGAAACTCACCTTGAGAAAGGCAAATGCTATAGGAAAGTTGGTATATTCTCAGTATTCTAATTTATGTATGACTAAAACCTGAACAAGGCAAAAGCATAACTCTAATATGTTCAATTTACTATGTCACTTGCCTCTTCTGAAATGAAGCTGAAAATAGCTTTCCAAAACCTCATCTACCTGCTGTGCTAAACACATTATTCCATAACAGGAATCTTTCAGCTCTCTAAGACAAATCACCAAGTCTTTCCTAGAATGCGTCACTGTTAGATGACTACACATGTCACACTAAATGGAAACATAACTTTTACCGAAAAACAGGAATCTACATAAACAGGTCATTTGAAAATTATGTGGAAAATATTTGAATACAGTTACTACTTTCCATACACACACACAGGAAGAGTACCTTGAGTATGCTGTCAAAATTGTAATTTTTGGAGAACTGTTTCATTAATTTTCTATTTTACTAGTACTAACTTAGACATTAGCAACTGTAATAATCTTCTCTGATGTGGATATCTTAAAGTGTCTTAAATGTCCTGAATATTTTTCATTATTTAACAGAGCATACTTAAATAAATTTAACTCTGGAGTTAAACAAATTTCACAACATTAAACTTTTAAACTGATGCACTGAAGCTACAAAGACCATCACAGTTGAACCTCAAACATGCCACCACAAAGCCTTCATGGTTTTATTAATGCTTCAAAACAATAACTTAGCCAAACAGTTTCTATCTGGATTAATTGACTCTAGGTTCAACTTCCCTTGACAATTGGAACTGGAAAAATGAACTTAAAAAACAGTTTAGTAGACTTGGGTGAACCTTCCCAAGTCTACTAACCTGAGTTCATGAAGAGCAAGAAAAGTTACATTTTAAGTATTTAGAAGGACGATCATTTCAATTTTTGTCATTAATAATAGGTTTTAAAAATCCTACCAATGAAAATTAAGTAATTCTCAAATAAATAAAATATATACCAAATACTAGTAGTTTCTTCTGCTTGTCAACAGTGGAAACAAAGCTTCAATAGTGAAATACAACCATGTTGTAATTTTAAATTTTAAGCTTTGAAAATCATGTCGCCCTCAGTGAAGTTGACACTTTGTTATGTTTCATTAAACTAGCTCTCCTGCTGACAAACAAATTGAAAGGAAACACGCATTGTTTACTATTAGAGGACATATTTGCATATAAAGTTGGGACTCAGATCACCCCAAATGGTTTCAATTA